TTTTTTTTTTTTTTTTTTTTTTTTTTTTTTTTTTTTTTTTGTTTTGTTTTGTTTGTTTTTTTGTTTTTGCTTTTGTTTTTGTTTTTTCCCTGCAATCACATTGGATGATACAGTTTTGTTTGATAGTCAGCTTTTTTGCCTGTAGATGAGAGGAGGGGAATAAGAGAGACTGAAAAATGGAGGAGTCGAAATTTTCTTATGTTGAACTTTTTTGCTGATATCTAGTCATACTGGATACGTCAAAGGACTCAGCTTCCAGAAGATCAAGGTGATGCGCAGGGAATCAGCAATGGACTTCCAGATCTGTACCTCCTCCTCTCCATAATCCGATTTAAAACATACACCCACAAACAGTGGTGCCCAGAGTTTTGTTCTAGGTGTGACTTTTTTTGTTGTTTTTTTGTTTTTCCTAGAATCCAGCACCTGGGAGCTGAAATCCATCTGATCAGAGACTTGATGGACCCTGCCAATCGAGGAGGACTGTACGACTTTCTGCTAACAGCACTGGAGGTAAGGAAATGTTTTCAACAGCGACAGCTGTAAGTTGCAGTAGCCTTTCTGGAATAGTAGAGATCCTGATAGGCTATACTCTCATTTAATTTTAGAGAGCTGTTTATATGCTCATCACAGGAGGTTATTTTCCTCCTGGTCTAGAGAATATGCTTAGTTTGTTTTAAATCTGCGCATTATATCCTGCCTTTGGGGGCAGTATAGCTTTGCTTTGTGTGCAAGAGACCAGATTTTGGCCCCAAATCCCAACATTTTTCCATAATGGCTTGCTTTTTTCCTTGCTCAGTCATGCTATGAACACATACAGAGGATGAGACTCCACCAAAGAGAGAACTACCATGTGACTCACAGCTCCTGAGCCCAAGGACCTGAAGGGGGCCTCCTCCCTGATGCACTTTCTTGACCAAACACTGTTGGATGAAGAAGCAATCATGTCACTGATATTCTGGCTGTCTTTAAAAAGGGAAGAACGGGTATTTATCAGATGAGGGTTTCTTGCTGGCTTTTCTTTTCAACTAGCTACGATTGTAAAGCACAGACATACGGATGCTTTGGGCTAAAAGCCTTCAATATGCAACCTCAGCTTGTGCTTGGCAATCTCTTTGTGGAAAAGTGGCCAAGGTTTCTTTTGCCCTGTAGTTTTATTTCGCTCCCCTGCAAACAGCAATCTGCCTTGAAACCTGGTTTAACTGTTCTCTCAGATGTTGTGTTTGTTTTGCACTGGTGCACAGACGTAAGGGAGATTATATTATAGAAAGCGGTCAAATGAAACCACAAGAACTATTTTGGTGGGACTATTTGTGGTTGGCAGAAACGTGGCATGGACAGGAGAGGCCATCTCCATGCTCCTAAACAACCTGTTCCTGGACTGAGGTGCCTTTTTCTGCATCCCTAAGAGGCAGGCTTTTCCATTCCTCTTCCTACCCATGCCAAACTCCATACCTCTCCATTGCATTGTAAAGCTGCTATTGACTAACTTCCTTGTTTTATAATACTTACAATTGTATGTATATTTATACCCTGCAGACTCCTGTTAAAACCTCAGGGATATCACACTTTCACCTCGAACACACTAGTGCTGCTTTGTAATTCCGCATGGGTTCATGGGTGCCCGATAGGAGAGATATTGTCCCAGGGTGAGGAATCTCATATCCTGGTGAAAGAAAACATAAAACTAGCTGGCTTTCTGCACTGACAGAGCTGCAAAAACCCTGTTTTTTCTGAGGTACACAACTATGTGCTGACAGACCACCCACTGATACCAGTGGGGTACCAATCACATTAGAATCAGGCTGGGTTTTACTCTGCCTTTATATAAATAGATATTTGATATCTTGTTCCCATCAGACAAAAATAGTAATGTCTGAGTTGCATATTTAGAGCAAAACCTCTTTTGAACTAGATTTGTCATGCTTTTTTTTTTTTTTTTTTTTTTTTTTTTTTACAGTATGACTTTAAATTATCCAGGTCTTTGACTTCAGGAACAAAAACAAAACTCTACAGGCTGTTTCCTCCTGTTTATGACAAGTATTATGCTTTAATAAATAGTACACTTATTACAATAGTTAATATATTGGTATGAGAGTAACCTAATATATGTTTTACAGTAACTTTGTTTTTAATAAAGCTGTTTAATTTTTAAGAGAGATTCCAGGCTTTCATATTTCTTATTCCAATCTTGTTGCTGTCTTCAGGCATTTGAGAATTTGCCTTCCTTTCTTTAACTTTAGTAAATATGTGGCTCCCTTACCGCCTTGATCACTCATGGGAAGGGAGAATTTGAACTACAGATTACATTAGGAAGCTAATTTTAAGAAAGACTGAATCAATAAAACTGATTTTTGTGCTTCCGTTCCCTGCCAAATCAGTAAGGAGAATGTGGCTTAAAAGTTTAAGATGATTTCCTGCAGTTAAACTATTTTTTACCACATTGCCTTAGCAGGCCTTATGAAAGAGGGCTGTTACACATCTTCGGAGGTGAAGATGCTGTGGTGCAAAGACAGCTCAGGTGAAGAGAAAGTGACAGAGAGTAGTTGAGATTCACCTTCCTTCACTTGAACACCTCTTTAGCCACACTACCACGCTGGCCTAGTTTCTTCCTTCCTTAACTATATTCTGCAGGGAAGAGGAAGAAACTGCAGAAACGATGCCTCTTCCCTGAGAACTGCTGCCCTGATTTTTGCATCACAGTAAACTCACGCCGTCCATCAGACTGAGGATGTAGTCTGCTGGATAGTACCATGCCTAAACTGATCCTGGGTACGTTGAAACTACTGGGTTCTTGGTGTAAAAGCTAGACTTGAATTTTTGCTGGTTTCACACGGCAAAGCCAGGCAGTTCCAGCTTCATGGGACATGAAATGAAAACTATTGTTCATCTAAACAAACCCTTTATAAAATTGCAGTGTTTAAAAGTGGTTGGTGCCTATACCAGCATGCAGCGAGACTGGGGAATACAAGACCAAAAACATACTTTCTCACCAATACACTGATTGTCAGCTTTAAACCCTTGCTCCTCACCTCTATGAAATCTCACCTTACTCATGTAAGGCAGAAAGCTCCAGCTGCCTGTCTTTGAGAATGTAAACAGCCATAAGTAACAGCTGTGAACTTTTAATTTCAGAGTTGCTTAAAACTGGCAGTTTTCCCGTCTAAAGAAACACCCTGCCAGAAGGTTGAATCACTGAGATGTAGTCACAGCTGTTAAAAAAAAAAAAAAAAAGTCTGTTTTCTCCATACTGCATTCTTTCATGCTCTAGGTTTTTAATTTTAATTTCAGGTACCACTTCCTACTCAAAATGCAGAACGTCTACGAGAAAATAGGACATACAAAACGCATGCATGTACAAACTCCACAGGATTATCTAGAAAACAATACGATTTTTCAGCCCACTGAAGATTTCTAGTATTGCACTTTCTAAACATATGGTTATTAGTTGCTCTTACTGGTCATCTGGCTGAAAATTGAGGAGGTTCTTGAGCTATAATTCAAGTGAGCCCTAAAGGGGCAGCTAAGGTAACAGTGTGCAGCCATTTGTGCTTCTAGGCTCTCTCAGCAACCAGTAAAAGCAAGAGGGATACTTGACGGGCAATACTCTTTTAGCCCAAGGGTAGCATTCAGGTTGCAAATTGTGCTGTGTAACCATGCAGTAGTGCTATTTGGTGTGTTAACAGCATGGCTTTTTTTTAGGAGATAATATGAGGCTACTTGCTAGCTTCCTTGATTAATCAGATCTCTGCTTGATAAAGTACTGTGCCTTGAAACAGCGTGTGGAAATGTGAGAGTACATTCAAGTTCCTCCTTTGGAGTTGGCGTGGATCACATGCTTAAATTATTGGTGGCAGATTGCTATCTGCACTTGTTTGCAATCAGGACTCCAGCTTCCTGATTATTCCATTAAATTTAATCCTGCAGGCCCCTGGAGCAGTAAGAAGGCTGACCCCAGCCAAGACTTTCAGTTTTAGAGACATACTGCTGTACAGGACACTAGTACAGTCATCTCTTCCACATCTAAGCTACAGCTACTGAGGCAGCTCAGGCCTCAAGGGAAGCTGTCACATCCCCTAAAAAAAAAAAAAAAAAAAAAAAAAAAAAAATATTTAGCTGTGAACAGGCAAAGCAGAGCTTAACTGCTGGAGTCTGCAGTGCAGATTTGCTGTCTGAACACAGTGATCTCAGAAGCCGAGGGAATATGCTACAGACCACTGCAATCTCAGTATTTAGCCTAGACAGACCTAAGTTTGATCCACAGAATTTCTGTTGCCCTCCCCTGAATGCACACTCACCAGCAGGGCTCATAAGCTCATACTACCATGATCTGGGTTTTTCCTTCATCTGAGATATTTTTCCTGTCCAATTACTCTAGATATTCAAATGCTGTCAATTTAAGAAGTACTTAGTCTTCTTACGAATGCACTCTCTCCCCATTCTATATTAAGGCTCTTTGTACAGCTATTAAACAGGCAGGAGTCAGTCTTCTACAAACACTCATTTTGCAAAAGGTTAATTTTACAAAGAACTGAATAAATAGGAAGTTAGAGTAGCGCTGTATCTATTGCTGCTTTCAAGTGGTGGAGCAATGCCTCTGGAGGTGGAGAAAGTGACGTCAGGTCTAGTTTCTTGAAATCTTCATTAGCACTCAATGATGTTAACACCTTCACAGTCCTCTTTAAATCAAACACTGCATGGAGCATGCCCAAGGTGGAAATGGCAGCTTTTGGAGTGTTCTTTGCTGAAGCTTCATCATCAAGGCCATTTTCCAAGACAGAAATCCTGTTCTCTGCAATAATTTTGAGGAAATTGTAGAACTCCTTGTAGTCTATACCCGTGCAAGACTTCATGATCAACTAGGGGGAAAAAAAAATAACCAGCATTGAAATGGAAACAACTCACTTATAGTAAGAATTACAAAAACATACTGTATCAAGCTAGTATCTGAAATCATAAGTAACCATGTTTAATCATATTTTTGTAAATCCCCTATGGCACTAAAATTCTTTACCTTATTTGAAATGCCACTAGCCCCAAAAGCAACACCTTGTTTCTTCCAAGTACTAAATGACTATATTTTTTGAAACTGTTTTTGAAGGGTATCAACCTAGCAGCAGCAACAGCCTCCAGAAATAAACTTTTAAGATTTTGGAAGCATCCAACACGGCTCAGTAGTTACATGTTCTGAAAGCATCACTTCGCAGACACAGAAACTGGCTGCCACCTTCCCCTTAATTTTGCTTGTTTCAGATTCACTGTTTTGTCATGAATTGTCTTCAAACCAGTTCTTCTGCGTGGGGTCTGTCTTATCAGTTCTTTTGTTTACATGAAAAAGCACTTATAATTTGTAAAGGGGAACATAAATATTACATCAAGGATTGACCTCAATACTAATGCTGCAAAATGAAGTTATCACCAGTTCCTACTTTCTAATGAAACGTACTAATTCCAGGTATGAGGATAAGGACTTTTGTGTCTTAGAGTTCTAATAAGGTGGTGCAATGCACCCTTGAAATATCCTCTAATAAAAGAGTCAGGCAGTCAGCATCATGTTGTTATACCTGGCATTGTAGATGCCAGTCATCCATGGGGACTTTCCACTCACTGATTTCCCGCTGGACAGCTGCTAATTCATCCTGCAGGAAGCACCACATTATAGCCACATTGCAGCCATTCACCCAGTTGTGGTTAATGGAAATGGTATCCTCCTGGAGGAGTAATTTAAATGGTTATTAGGCTTCACGTAGGAAAGTGCAAGAAAACAGCTTTAACATCGCTGATGTTGAAAAATGTAAAATCGTATTCCTCAGCAAGGGAAATGCTTCTCTGGCATCACTACCACCACTGTGCTGAAAGGCTTTCTCTTTCTAATGTCCCTGAACAATCAGATCTTGTTTCACTCAAAACTGGCAAATGTCTCTAGTTCCTCTGTCTGGGCACACCTTTTGAGAGCACAAAGGTGGGAGAAGGTGCTGGGGAGAAAGGAACAAGGTGGTTAATTTTGGCTTGTAATCACAAAGACCAATTTGTTAGCATTTTCCATTACTAAATTACAATTTAGAGTTAGAAACCAAGCCTTACCATAAGTCTGTCTCACCTAGCATCTTATTTCTCAGTGACTAGTAGCATCTAATGATGAAAAGCATAAGAAAAGGGGGTGCAGACATCTTCTTCAGTTGTAGTACACTCTTATACCGTCTAGTGGTCAATGACCCAAGGAGTTTATGAGTTCAGGCTTGCTTTTAGCCATCATCTTGAGTGGCCACTGATAGACCTTTCCTCCATGAATCTCTCTAAACTTTTTGCAGCCCAATTAGACATTTGGCACCCACAACACGCTGTAGCAATAAAGGTTTGATCTGATTCAAGCCTGCTGCCTGATTATCTCTCTCTGTTATGGAAAAAGTTGGTGTCAGCTATCTTACCAGATTGTAAACTTGATGATGCCATCCACTGGGGATGAAGACTATCTCCCCTGCTTCCTGCACAATTTCAACAGGGGGTTGACTTTGGTTGTAGCGAGGGTAAACACTCCTGTCCTGAAGACCAGGTGCAGTCACGTCAAAGGGCAAGTTGCCATGGCGGTCTTTCAGGTACTCCTCCTGTCCTGCAGGGTACAACAGCCATTTCTTTCTCCCACATATGTTGGCTGACCAGCTGTAGGAACGGAAGACATCAGCGTGGAATGGAGTCCTGTGGGACAAACCAGAGGTTTAAGTAAAGACAATGGCTAAAAGCTGTTAATCGAACTAAACTCTGAGAAGCAGACATGCACGCAGAAATCAACCTTTACTATGCAAACCTAGTCCCAAACTGTCATCCTCTTAATTTATTTTTGACTGCTTTAAATATTTAAAGGCCATTATATCTACATAGTATTGCAGTGTTTTATGGCCTCCGTGCGTCTCCATCAGTTAGTTTTGAATCCGTCCACAAATGCATCAATGGCAGGAGAAGCTGTGATGTGAACTGATGAAGATACTGTAAATGTAACTTTATCACTAACACTGGACTTAAATTTTCACCAGCAAAATATTTGATCAACGCATCAGCGCCCCCTCCGAGGCCCTAGTTGACTCTTCAAATTGCAAGTGGCTGATGATCCCCAGGGAGTTTCTGCTCTAAAATTTCTATAAGCAAGCTGTCAAGTTTTGCTGATTTTGTGTGCACAGTTCAGGGCTTTTTGAAGCATGATAGCACTTTAGCTGACTGCATAAGGAGAGCTCACATCCAGAACCAAATGAGCTGCTTGAGAAATAAGGCTGGCTTAGTTCAGGTATACCACTACACAGTACAGCCACACTGCCTCCACAGCATGATGCTATTCTGGAGGACGGTGTGATAATCCCCTGTAATATTAATCTTAAAAAAAAACCCCACACTGCCTTACCATGAACCTTTAGGTCCCATATAGACGAAGCGATAATCATCCACAGCTATAGCATCCCAGTACTCATTCAGCCAGTCGGATGAGAAATACACAGGGGTTGTATAAACATCTTGCTCGGGGAAAGCTCTTAAAAAAAGATAATGGGTTGGAAGTAAGTCTCAGCAAAATCAACATTGCTCCTTCTACCTCGGTTTCCAAAACTCAGATGCAAAGACAAATCAAATCTCTAGAAAGGCATTAATACTTAGCTGCTATCTCTTTTATATCACTGACAACTCTGAGTTGTATGGAAAACACATGCAATAGTGCTTTTTTGTCTCCTGGGAAAGCTGTGAGGGTTAACTGCTCTTTGAGAGACGACTAATTATGGCAGAGACAGTTCCTAATAAACATTCTTTTTAGATGAGATACCAGCAAGACTGGCTGTCCAACTGGATGACACGTTGGGGTTGTGGGGGTTAGGAGGGAAGCCAGGCTGTGGGATTTTGGCAAGTGTGTGGCCTTCTCCCACAGGATTTGCTGCCCCTTTCCCATCCCAGGCTGCATGTGCAGACTTTTTGCAGCAAGCCACAGCACCGGTGTCTGCAAAAGCAGACAAACAGGGGCAGAGACTGACAAATTTCCTCTATTGTAAGTCACTGGCACACTCAAAAATGAAAACAAGAGCTGATCATAAGAAATTTGGATTAAGAGCCTACATTTAAGGAGGAAGAGATTTGAGTGAAAAGACATAAAACCCTACACAGACATGGCGAATGGCATCCACCTCACAGGCAGCAGACTGGAGAAGGAAAGCCAGAACAGTGTGAAGAGAACTTTAACAACTGGGAAGGTTAACAGAAAAGAAAACGGATAATAAAGGATGACAACTCAAACATGCTCGCTGAATTAAACAAAATTAGAAGTGTCTCCCTTCTTTTTAAGAATTAAGGTTTGCACTGCAGCAGTCAAACAAAAGCCAGAGGTTCTAGGCACACGGTTTCCACAGGGATAACATACAGTCATATAAAACATAGATGAAAAGCTGAAGAATGTCAGCTTCTTCAGGAAACAATGACCTGTTTAAAGATCTTATCATGTGAAGTAACCCAAGAAGAGTGCAGGATAACACTGATATTTTGGTGGGCACTTTCTAACAAACAGCACCAGTGGTGTTTAAATGCTCAGTTGTTAGAAAATGAGCATTAAGGCTCCGCATCAGTTATTTGCTGTGGGTGGCATGCATGGGTTCCCATAGTGCTCTCTTACCTGCTCAGGTGCCAGTCCTTTAGATAAAGGCACCCTCGGGATGACCGGTAGTCATTTTTAATGTAATCTTTCCAATAATTTATATACTCCTTGAAGGGAAGTTGTTCCTTTGGATTAGAATTGTACTCCTTGACATCACAGTTGGCAACAGGTACTACAGCTTCTCCTGAAATATAAACTCTTTGAGCCCAGGCGGGGACAGAATAAGCAATGCTGAAACTGAACTGCCTTAACCTTATCCACTGCAGCAGCCTCTTATATCTGGGTCCTATAATGCCGAGCATGGTACAAACACAAGAAACAACAATCCCTATCCCAGCTTGCACTCCCAACGCCATTATTTTAGGCAAAAATGAATCTGAGTTATTCATGTTTAGTTATTTAACATCACCTGAATTTTACTCTTAAACTACATTAGGATTGGGGTATTGATTCCTATTAAATATAGTAACATTTTACAGCCTAAAGAGATATTTCACTGTAACTACAGAATACCTGCCCCTTGCCTGGGGAAAGTTATCTGGCTGCCCCTCTGGTTAATGTTAAGCAGGTATATAAATTGGTATGATTAAACTATACAACACTTTTTGATTTATTTAAAAACATAAAGTGTGAGTATGTATAGAAGATCAATGTATTAACTTAGAAAAAAAGTCTGAACTTGCTTGGATTTGTCTAGCAGTTCCATTCCCAAGATGAAAAATAAAACAGTAATTTAGCATACGTGTTTTAATTAGGTATTAAAAATGCTACGACTTACCAAACTTCTGCAGAAGGTAATCAAAGTTAGGCTTTCCATCCCAATTAACCCAATTTCTCCTGCTGGCCCAGTCTTCAGTGAATTTAGCTGAGAAAATACAGGGATGATTGGGAATCAAATAATCCCGGAAAAAATCCGAGTAGGTGAATGATTCTACTTTTTCAATAAAGTCAACGTGTCCTCCGGGGAGGCAGAATGCACCCTGAGATGAACTGCTGTAGTCACGAAAAAAGGCAGTGGAACAGGCAAATGTTGCCCTGTCCATGCAGCCTGGATACCCTTCCTGGCTTAGCCAAGACCAGATGCTAGCCTGTTATGCTATGGCAAAAATCCTGCATGAAAACATGATTTGAGTCTCTAAATCCATGAAAACCTCACAGGAAAATATAAATGGCCAGAGGTGAAACAAGAAGTCGTGCAGGTGCATCCCACCACATTGGGCTAATTAGGATCTTCCATAGGTTATAAAGTTTAATGCTGGTGGGATATCTGACAACAAAGTCACCCTACGGATGGTGAAGATGTTGCTTTTTCCTTGTCACCTTCTTGCTAGGGCGACCACGCTCTCTGGGGACGACCAATGAAGGCTGGTTCCTTCTAAAACAGCAGAAACATTAAATTCAGTGGGATATCCCTGCTAAACGAATTCATTGTGGGGGTGAAGGAAACCCCCTAAATATTTGGGGTACTGGGAAACTGCTGCAGCCCAGCGACCGCACTGGAGCTCACTCTTTTGTCAGGAGATAAGCTCTGGTACCACCCACCCTCCCCGGGCTTTTCTTTATGGGCCAGACAGAAATTACAGGTTTAAAAAAAATAAATAAATAAAAAAATAATAAAAAAAGGTAAATAATAGTAAGAGGGAGGTACCTGGGAAGGGAAGAGGCCCGAAGGCAAATGAGGCCACATGCCCTGCAGAGGTGGGCTTCGGGAGAGGGGAGACACTGGGGGCGAAGGGGAGACCACGGGGCTCAGAGGTAGAAGAGGGGCCGCCATGAGGCGGTTGAGCTCGGGGGAGTGGGGGGAGACCCGGACGCTGCAGGGCGCCGCACACGCCGTCCCCGCGTCGGGCTCTCGGCGCGTCCGCGGCCCACGGAAGCCGAAGGGACAGCGGGGGACGGATACTCACCCCCACCGCCCGCGGGGCAGGGCCCCAGGGAGAGCGGCGGTGGCGGAACAGACGAGCCCC